GGCTTTCCGACCGATGACGCCAATAGCGGACCCGCCCTTTGACCCTCGGGAATGGCAGTGGAATCCCGGGGGGGGCGGGGGGGGGGGGGAGAAGAGCAAGGACTGCACAACGGTCTTTGAGCCTTGGTGACATGAAGGTCAAAACAGCGTACTGTATGTTGAGACCCAAAAAAGAGCTGCGGGACACGATCTGCAACAGGTGGCAACGCCATCTCAACATTGATCAGAGTACCCTACGTCCCATTCAAAGGTTTCGTGAAGCCAAATTGCCGCCGACCAAGATCTCATCGCTACAGTGGCAGGTAGCCCACTGATACCTTCCGACTAATGACTGGCTGATAGATCACACCACGCTGGAGCAGCAAGGCCGGGCGCTGCCTTGGTGCACGAAATGGCTACAAAGCTACCCACCGCGAAAGACGAGTGAGACAATCGAGCACATCTTTCTGCAGCGCCCATCATCAGTGCTACTATGGCAATGGTGGGATAGAATATGACGGCAGACGGTCCCTGGTACCGGCTGGCCATGGGACTCGAGGGCGCTGCTAACGGGCCACTGGCCACAGTGCCCGGACGACCCACTGACAAGAAACCTCTTCCGGGTGGGCAGGCGAACTATTTTGTGGGCAATATGGTGGAGAAGATGCATCCTGGAAATTGAGGGGGCATGGGTGGAGGAGGGGGAAGTAACAGAGGTGGTTAGGCAGCTAGTACAAGCAGAGATTACTAACCACTGGCAGACAGCCAGACAATGAATGAGCTTTTTGCATACCAGGAAGGACATTGCTCATCACACACTTCTGCGAAGAATGGTTGGGGGGAAGAAGGGGGGGATGGATGGCGGACGTATCTTGGTCAGGGGATAACCCCCATGGAGAGGGAAGGGAGGCAGGGGGAGAAATGCTGAGAGACTACAAGCTCTCCTTTTCGGACTGGACTGCGATAGATCCAGGCATCCCCCTGCGAACGGCGATAGACTTCCTGGACCCTTTTCCCCCCCACCCGTTATCACTTGTGGAAGTGCCTTCTAACTGAGCCCGCTTCTCAGCATGCGACGCCTTCAAGAGCGACGCCAAGCCCGTCTTCCAGCACACGATCGCACGAGGACAGCATGAGGTAGCATGAGGCTGGCAGGGCAAGGGGATGGAAGAGGACTCCACCGTGCCCCCTGATGGCTCTCCTTCCGAAAACCGGCCAGGCCACGGTTTTAGGAAAGGGAGGAAGAGCTGATATGCGACGCTGGACCCGGTTTCCAACATAGGGGTCATGTCCTGATGTTTTCATCTTCCAAATGATGTACATTCGTAAGGGACGCTGGGCCCGGTTCCCAGCACGTGCTGCTCCCCACGAATAGATCGGAGCAAAGGGACTTCAAGAAAAAGAAAAAAAAGAGTGGCATTGAGCAGGTTTCTCGGTTTCCCCCAGTATTTATCCCCTCTCTATGGGCAGACGACGACGGGGATTGATCCAAAGCAAGGGTGTTTAGCTGCTGCAGGATTTGGTCTGCAACAGCTCGCCCTGGTCTGGTGGTGATAACCGTTCAATACAGCGCTCTGTAGGTGGTTCATATGGTAGTCTATTTTCCTCCTCAGGCTGCTGCGTCGGTCATTAGTCTGGCAAGGAAGAAGGAAATCCGTCTGCTGTTGCAGTAGCTGTATGCCCAACATTGCATGTGGGATATACTAGGAGAGGATGTGGCGGATGATGGTATCGGGGATAGCCCACATAGTAGAAACACGTACTTTCTATGACAGCTTCCTTGAAACATTGAAGACATATGACATGTTTGCTGACTTGTGAGCTGGACAGCAGGCTGACGTTTGCAGCTATTTAAGCATGGCAGATCAAGGCCATGATGGCATGCTGGGCAAGCAATTAAGGGGGGGATGAGTACAAGACAAAGGGTCCCAGTTTTCGCGGCAGAGGCTGGCAGTGACCATCCCTTCAAAGTGTTCGAAGCAGAGGCTATGCCATGTGCATGCTAACCGAACCGTAGCTATGCGAAAACACAATGGGAGGGCACAACTAACATCCTCTTGAGAAGTCCCGTCACGTCCGTGGTAGAATCTGTCCGATTTACATAGGGAGGCGACGCTGCCTGACCATGCACAGAGGAAGGAGAAGGTTCGGCCGGATTGCTCTCCGGAGGCCATAGTGCTTGCTAGTGCACAGCAACATACTGTTCCTGATGGACGAGCCAGACCAAGTGAGGATCTACAGCTCGGTGATAGAAATAATTAATACTTCCCACTGTGTGCACCCTACCACCATTGTCCCATAGGGTCCATATATTATTCGTGAATGTTACAACACTGAAATGACCTGGATGATGCAGGATGTATGCACAAATATTTGGATCCATGCTCGGCAGTGAATGGGGCCTCTGTCATGGTTGATCTGACCATGAATGTGTTGATGATGACGTTGATGACGAATGAGAGGCGTGCAAGGTGGAGGAGGAAGAGGGAGAAGAGGAAGAGGAGGAGGAAGAAGTAGAGGAGGCAGACGATTGACGGGATGATGTAGTAGGAGGCACACTGTCAGCAGCAGTCGCCGCATTGCTAGGATGCAGGAACTCATCCCCTGCAGCCACTTCTATTACGTTTACAGTGTTTGTTGAGGCTGGCCTGGTGTCCAACTGAGTTGGCATATCCACATTAGCGTTGGCCATTTCAGTAGGAATAACAGGAGAGGGCGGGCCACGGCGTTTGGCTATGTGGAGGGCTGGCGCTGTCTATAGTGAAAATTGGTGTTCGGGACTGGGTGACGGCCCCTAACAAGCATACGTCGTGTCAGGGAAGTCACTGCAGCTTTGAGGTCGGTGGTATTGTTACATATATGTTCAAACCTTGTTAGCTGTCTCGTGAGCACATCTGCAGGCTGATGAGCTGGGGCACTCGAGGAAGCACTGGGATAGCGTATGACAGGGAATGTCCAAGCCTCAGCCTTATCAAACATGCCAATCTGAAGTGAGCCATCAGGCGGGACCAGGATCCTTGCCCTGAGGAAAAGACACGACCCATCTTGCTCAGTAGTGTCTTTCCACTCAAGACCATACCGTGCAGGAGGGGGCGGAGATGCCTTCCATGATAGGATGTCATCGATGAACCAATATGTGAATGCACATGCTTGCAATGCGCGCAGATCTTGCTGACGAAGTTTGTCGATGAACTGTGCTTCGTCCCAATAGAATGTGAGGTTGGCAATTTCTGGTCCGGCGTTAGTGCCCATAGGGATACCGGCCACCTGACGGTGCAGAGTGCTATCCGTTGTATAAAACTAAGTATAAGAGACCACAAAGCACAGATGTTGTTCTATTCCTAACACTACAAGGGTGTCTGAGCCATGCGAAGCAACCCACTCCCCGTGATGAGGACCTCCTATAGTCATGTACATCTGTATTGGCCTTCTGCCGTGTGGGATAGATAATGAAGCACAAACATGTGCTTCATGAACAGCATTTAGGACATGATTAAAGATCCTGTCGTGTGGCAGGTTCGTGTACATTGTTGTAAAATCCACTGTGTGTGGCATACAGCCTCAAAGGGAATGTGCATTCTGCTTGGGATCCAAAATGACTTTGCACAATCCAGCAACACCGTACCACACTTTCCTGATAAAGCTCACTGTCCTTACTGCGTAGAGCCTTGATCATGCCGTGGAGAGCATAGCTAAATGAGCGGGAGGCCATTGTTGTACTTGCAAGAGGCTTATGAGGGGCCCTGCTATGTAGATCCGAGACTGAAGGTCGGCAAGGTGTTGAGCGAGGTGCAGATTGGGAAAAGATATTTAGCTAATTCACCCAAAGAATTGGACGAAGAGTGGGTGGAGATTTGCCTGCTTTGAGTCCGAAGTAAAGATAAGGCAGCCTGAGGGTGTCTGTATGTCCATAAACCCAACGTTGATTGAAAAGTGCATGGTGTTCGAGGATGCTGGCCACTGACGCCGATTGTTGATTGTAGGTAGGACTATCAAGATGCTGTGCAGATTGGCATGTTGTGTGGCATTTTATCAACAGGGACTGTGGCGAATTGCTGCTGTGGCTGCTTGAGAGAGGTGTTGGCAGCTCATGAGGCAGCCTGAGTAGGTGCTTGTTGGCATCTTGAAAGAATCGCTATTGGTCATCTGCACAGCTGAGAAAGCCTCTGTGTGTGTGTGTGTGTGTGTGTGTGTGTGTGTGTGTGTGTGTGTGTGTGTGTGTGTGTGTGTGTGTGTGTTGTCATGTTTGCTATACACAATTCCACAAAAAAAGGCATGGCTGTGCCAGACTATTTCGTCAGACTTTCACGGACTCATCAGGAGGTTAAACACGGACAGTGCCCAGGATGCATCTAGCTGGTGGATAAGGACTTTTCTCAGACCAACCCTTCAATCCTAGCAGACTGTCGGTGGCAGTAAGTCTGAGAAACTGATCTGTCACAGCCATAAAACCTACTCTTCACATCCACTCAGCCATGAATACCCATATGAGAGAAGGGGGGGAAGAGGGAGAGAGGGAGAGAGAAGGGGAGAAAGGGGAGGAAGAGGAGGGATATAGGGAGAGAGAGAAGGGAGGAGGGAGGAGGGATGCGCATTCAGCGAACAGATGTGTGGGCAGTTCCCGCTCAACCACTCAGACGTCAGGAAGCTCGTACCTCTTTCTGTTCCAGCCCTACGTGTCGATTCCCTGCCGTATTGATGACGACTCAGGATAACGGCCGGCTACACATACGTCTTTTACAATAACTTCTACAACGTGATCATCTGACCACGGACAGAGACACAGAGAGAGAGAGAGAGAGAGAGAGAGAGAGAGAGAGAGAGAGAGAGAGAGAGAGAGAGAGAGAGAGAGAGAGAGAGAAGGGGAGACAATCCATTGCTGCAGGGGCGGTGCTAACTTCCACGTGCACGTACGTATGGTAATCTTCACTAACGCCTAAAAAACATTATATCGCATGCTGTACAGACAGTGGATTGATTTGTGGATAAGATACGATCGAATTGGTCTCTGCAACTCATACCTGCTCCTTCATAAGTGCTTGCCGCAGAGTACCTGCAGCCTGATCAACGCTATTCATGTCAAGCTGGGGAGTGATGGCGTGCAATACGTCCGTTGGGTCCAGGTGTTTCCCACTGGATCGCCTGGTCAAGCTGGATGAGTCCGCTGAGGCAACGCAAGGCGACGAAGACACCGTGATTCTCTCATGTCGTGACACGTGGCATCCGCTGCTGCGCTCTGTCTGTCTCCGCTTCGGACTGATTGGATGTCGCTCTTGATCGCAATGATTAGTGCGCGATAAATCTGACGTGGCGGCTATCTTCAACTCAGCCTTAGCTTGTCCGGACCGGTCGCGATCGCGATCCATTTCCCCCCCCCCACCCGCCCATGCGCTCCGCATCACGTAAGCGCAGATCTCTCTGTCTCTCGGAGTCTCAAGGACTAACGGCATGGGCGAATCAGATTGACCTCCGTTCTTAGTAGTAGTAGTAGTAGTAGCAGTAGTACTCGTATCTTTCATGTTGATCCCGATCCCGATCCCCGTGCCCTTCCCCTTTCCCTTCCACGATGTGGGGGCCGAATGAGATCCCGACGACGCATCCGTTCCTTCAGAAGGAAGAGGCTTGCTCCATCCCGACTTGGAGGAGAAATTGAGAGGCGGGTTGGGGCGGGGAGAGGGGCTTCTCTTGCCGACGCGTGGCATCCTCTCCTTGTTCAGAGAAGACAAAGATAATGGCCCCCTGATGTCCCTGGGCACGGCGTCTCGGCTCAGGTGTCCCGACTTCGTCTCCGACTTCGAAAACAGTGACGCCGCTGCGGTTCGATCCGACGGCCGATCTGACTGCCGGGCTGACGTGCGATCTGTGGCACACAGTGACCGAGAAGCGTTGAAAGTGCAATTGCTGGCATACGATGATGATGGGGGAGCGGCATGATGATGCTGATCAGCAGTTGTGCGCGGCATTCGTTCAATCATCATCATAGGATCCGTCGAGCATGTCCCCTTTCGCGTGCCTCCATGGGCGCCAACGTTCTTCTGGGCCAAAGTTCCAAATTGCTGCTGAGTGTGAGTGCCTTCCTGACGCTTGGACGATACCAGCGGCCCACGATCACGGCGACTGCGAGCGCTTCCCAGTCGTCGGCTACTTGTCCGTGAGACGGACAGCTTTGGCTGCGATAGATAATCTTCGTCAACGTATTCACTGTCAGATTGCAGCTCAGTTATGCCATAGAAGCTCTCACTAGCATCAAGTCGACGACCTTCTTCTGACGAAGGGGAAAGATTAGTAGGCGACACTCTGCAGCCCCCTCCTGCTGAGTACTGGTGAAGATCGTCATCGCCGCTCCTCTTCACCTCATCAGACGTAGCAGAGTCAGACTTTGTCGTTCTCTCCTTCGCGACCTGTGGCCTGAGAGGATCTCCTCTCTTTCCTCCTCCTCCTCCTCCTCCTCCTCTTCCTCCTCCTCCTCCTCCTCCTCCTCCTCCTCCTCCCCTACCTCCGGCGTTGAGAGTGTTTCGGGTCTGGTGGTGCTTAGCAATGTCGTGAGTGGTGCTGCGATCGTTGACCTGAGGGACTAACGTGTTCTTCGATATCTGGCCCAAGATTGGTCGATCTGCACCGTTCTGAGCTCCTAGTAGATTGGAGCACTTTACCCCTCGGGAGCAAGACGACAGACCATCTCCAGGCCGAGGAGCTGGTGCCCCCACTGCAACTTGGTGGTGGTGGTGGTGGTGCTGCTGCTGCTGCTGGGTCGTCGCTTTCCCGTGCAGCTCAGCTTGCACGTGCACGTTTGTCAGCCCCTCTGTCTTCGCCCTGTTCTTGTTCAAGCTCTGCAACAGCAGACGAACTTCCTCTTCGAGCAAGCTGCGAGTCGGGGTCTGCAGCAAGCGACGGCAGGTCCGTATCTCGTTCGCCTCCCTCTGTACGTCCCGAAGGATGGCCTCCAGCGCACGTGCCTCCTCCATCAAGACCTCATTCTGATCAATGCAGGCGGCGCCCAGGACCATCTTGACTTCTTCTCGCTCAGCGACCGGTACGAGCTGCAGGATGGCGTCCCAGATCAAGCTGCGCACCGACCGGACGGATGGAAGGGGTGACGAACCTGGACCTGCTTGGGCTGATGTTATCCCTGCAGCTGAGTGGTAGTCGCCGGGGCACGGACTACCGGTAGAGTCGGCGGTGGAGGGGAGGGCACCCGGGCCTGTCGGGAGGATAACCCCCCCCCCCCTCCTCCTCCCGCTGCTGCTGCTGCTGCTGCTGCAGCTGCCGCCGCCGCCGCCGCCGCCGCCGCCGCCGCCGCCGATGTGACAGGAAGCGGAGGGTGTCGCCGCACCGGCCGCGAGGACGAAGGCGGGAGACAGTCCAGGCGATCCCCGGGGGCACAGCGCGACGGAGGGCGCGGGGGGGGAAACAACCTTGGAAGCCGCGGAGGAGTGGGAGAGCGCAGAGAGGGGTAACGAGAGACATCGCCGCTGCGCAGCGCCGCGGATCTGGAGCGCAGATGAAGGGCCGGGAGGCGAGCTGGCAACTCCTGAGACATCATCAACGGCTTCGAACTTGGGATCCCGATCGAGATACTCATAATGATCCCGACAGGTGGGCGGCGGTGACGTGGCCAACCCCCCGGAGAAGCTCGTTGGACTTGTGGGAACTACAGATCCCAACCGAACGATTTGACTGCTGCTGCAAGATGGTGTTGCCGATCTCGATGGAGTTTTTTCGAAAGGAGGAGGACCGTCGGATTTCGCCCGCGATCGAGCCGACGATACAGCTGCTGCTGTTTCTTCTTGATAAGGTGGTAAGGCTTTAGGAGAGCTCGATTTGACCGATGATCGGGAGGTGTGTGCTCCTCCAAGTTGCCTGCCCTCTGGATCTGAAGAGGTTAACCTTTGAGATTGTATGTGTATATGCGCGAACGATGATGATGATGACGATGATGATGATGATGATGATGATGATGATGATGATGGGGGAGCGGGCGGGGTGGTGGACGATCTTGCTGTCGCTGTAGTAATTATTCCTCTGGCTCTAGCAGTGGCAGTTGGTAGGGATCGCGACTTACCAGTATGTGCTTTCCCTAGGCGCCAAACGTTCTCTTGATTGAATGAAATGGAGTGGAAGGTGGACTGTACACTGCAGGAAGGAACGACTGTCGACGAATTTGGAGGGGGTATGCCCTTTGTCTTTGCAATCGAGGTTTCTAGGATCGTGGCAGATGCGCCCGGTTTTAAATTACCTTTGTCAGTGGGGAGATTGAAAGCAGTAATCACGCCAAAAGATGGCTGTTTTACCTTTACCCGCTCGTGGAGCACGCTAGGCTTGCCATGCCTGGTTAGGATGGATGAATCTCCGAGAGGTGATTTCATTCAGTCACGCATAACAAAAGGGAGGTGGTTGACAGACAGTCGCCGTCACAGACTGATGGCTAGTTTGCTGACTGACTGCCTACATCAGCAGTGTCTTTCTTGTTCTTGTTCTTCTTCTTCTTCTTTTCTTTTTTTCCTTTCGGGTTCCTGTTCTTAGATGTGTGTGCTTGAATTGTAATCACGTAGGACACGTTTTTTTTTTGCTTCTTGTTCTCCCGGTCACGGGCCCGCTTGGGGAGCGGGGCGCTGGAAGAAAACAAAAAAAAGCAGATCAAATATCAGAAGGAGCTTTCGTACTTCAACCTGAGTTTGCTCTTCGTGCGTGTGTCTGTGTGTTTGTAAAGTGTGTGTATGCGTGCGTTTGAGGGCTGCGTTTGTGTGTGTGTGTGTGTGTGTGTGTGTGTGTGGACAAAGCAAAATCAAATAGGAAAAGGTTGTTTCCTAGTTCACTTCAACTTCCTCCTTCCCTCTGTGTGTGTGTATTTGTGTGTGTGTGTGTGTGTGTGTGTGTGTGTGTGTGTGTGTGTGTGTGGACAAAGCAAAATCAAATAGGAAAAGGTTGTTTCCTAGTTCAATTCAACTTCCTCCTTTCCTCTGTGTGTGTGTATTTGTGTAGAGGGTGTGTGTGTGTGTGTGTGTGTGTGTGTGTGTGTGTGTGTGCATGAGTTTCTGGCAAACAAAAAGCAAGATCAAAAACTTGCAAAAGGTTCTCTCCTACATCAATCGGCTCTGGCGAAGGAAAAGCGCAATAAAAAACTAGCACAAGGTTCTTTCCTAGTTCTACCTAACTTCCCTCCGTAAGGGAAGATAGCACCCACGATGAGTTGAGGTGGCTGATGCTCTATCCCGCCCGCCCATCATCAGAAAGAGATCGAACTACAGCGGCGGGGTCCACGTGATCCTTGGGCCGATTCGGTTCTGAAAATCTAGCGCGTGAACTTTTGGGCGATCCGATTCAGAAAAGCTAGCTCGTGATGTTTCGGCCGCATTCAAAAAATCTAGCGCCTTGGAAACGTTGGCTACGTGGAGCGGTGCGGAGGGGAAAGGTGGTGACCGGAGGGGAAAGGTGGTGACCGAACCGCTACATGCTGGGGGGGTATGCTGGAAAATTGCTCGCAGGGGTACCGCACCTCGCTCATTTTCACTCTACGCCACGCCCCTCAGCTACCGCAAAAAAAAAAAAAAAAAAACAATCCACTATGCTGTGCCAATGAATGATTCGCAGGCCGATCACGACTGGTCTAGTAATCAATCAATCCATCGATCCATCAAGCAATCAATCACCCAATCAAGCAATCAATCGATCAATCAACTGGAAGACTCATCACACCTCGCAGCGAGTGCAGGACGCGCAACTGGCAGCCCCCCTGTCTACGCATAATATCCTTCGTTCTCAAAACGCGCAACTGGCAGCCCCTGTCTACGCCCCTCACACACACGCGCGCACTCTCTCTCACATACACACATACACACGCTCTCTCTCACACTCACACTCACACACAGAGACACATCTCTCTCTCTCTCTCTCTCTCTCTCTCTCTCTCTCTCTCT